GGAAATTATCTAGTTTTTCTCTCATTAAGTGTGATGTTGGCTGTAGGTTTTCTGTAGATGTTCTTTATCCAGTTGAGGAGGTTCCCTATGCCTAGTTTGCTGATGGATTGGTGTTTTATTATGAATAAGTGTTGGGTTTTGTCAAATGCTTTCTCTGCATTTATTAATATAATCATGAGATTTTTTTTCTTCTTCAGCCTGTTGATGTGCTGGATTACATTAGTTGATTTTTGAATGTTGAGCCAGCCTTGCATACATGGGATAAATCCCACTTGGTGATGGTGTATAATTCTTTTTGTACATTGTTGGATTTACTTTTTTGAGGACTTTTGCACCTGTGTTCATGATGTAGCTCTAATTTTTCTCTCTTTTTTTTAAATGTTTATTTATTTTTGAGAGAGAGCATGAGTGGGGGAGGTGCAGAGAGAGGGAGAGACAGAGAATCCCAAGCAGCCTGTCAGTGCAGAGCCTGATGGGGGCCTCGAACTCACGAACCATGAGATCATGACCTGAACCAAAATCAAGAGTTGGACGCTTAAGACTGAGCCACCCAGGCATCCCGTGTAGTTTTCTTTTCTTGTAATAGCTTTGTTTAATTTTGGTATTAGAGTAATTCTGGCCTCAGAATGAGTTAGGGAGTATTCCCTCTGCTTCTGTCTTCTGGAAGAGATTGCAGGAAATTGGAAGAATTTCTTCCTTAAATGTTTCTTCCTTAAATTTACCGGTGAACCCATCTGGGGCCTGGTGCTTTCTGTTTGGGAAGGTTATTAATTATTAATTCAATCCCTTTATTTAATTTTTAAAAGATTTTAATTTTAGGTAATCTCTACATCCAATGTGGGGCTTGAACTTACAACCCCAAAATCAAGAGTCACATGCTCTACTGACTGAGCCAGTCAGGTGCCCCTGATTCAACCTTTTTAGTAGATATAGGCCTGTTCAGATTTCTTCTTGTGTGAGTGTTGGCCGATTGTGTCTTTCAAGGAATTGGGCCATGTCATCTAGGTAATCAGATTTGGGGACTTCAAGTTTTTCATAACATTGCTTTATTATCCTTTTAATGTTCGTGGGATCCATCGTGATACATCCTCATTCATGTCTGGTATTAGCAATATGTGTCTTCTCCTATTTTTCTCAATTAGTCTGGCTAGAGGATTATTGAATCTATTCACCTTGTCAAAGAACCAGCTTTTGGTTTCATTGTTTTTCTTTATTGTTTTCTCATTTTCAATTTCATTGATTTCTGCTCTAATTTTTAAAATTATTTCTTCTGCTTATTTTGGACTTAATTTGCTCTTATTCTTCTAGTTTCCTAGGTGGAAGCTTAGGTTTTTGATTTTACATCTTTTTCTTTTCCAATATATGCATCAATGCTATAAACTTCCCTGTAATCACTGCATCCCACAAATTTTGGTAGATTTTATTTCATTTTCATTTAGTTCAAAGCATTTTTAAGTCTCCTTGAGATTTTTTCTTTCACCTACATGTTATTTAGGAGTATGTTGTTTAATTTCTACATATTCAGAGATTTTCCACCTACTTTTGTTGATTGATTTCTAGTTTAATTCTATTATGGTCTGAGAGCATACAGAACACATTGGAAATTGTGAGGGTGTGTTTTATGACCCAGAATATGGTATATCTTGGTGAATATTCCATGTGATCTTGAGAAAAATGTGCATTCTGTATTTTCTGGATGAAGTCCTCCATAGGTATCAATTAGATCCAGTTGGTTGATGGTACTGTTGAGTTCAATTGTGTCCTTACTGATTTTATACCTGCTGGATCTGCCCATTTCTGTTAAAGGGGAGTTGAAGTCTCCATATATAATAGTGGATCCATCCATTTCAACTTGTAGTTCTACTGGTTTTTGCCTTATATATTTTGACACTGTTGTTAGGTGCATATACATTAAGGACTGTTATGTCTTCTTGGAGAACTGACCCTTTATCATCATTATAAAAAGAGGCATTACATAATGCCTCAACATTTTTCCTTTTCTGAAGTCTGCTCTGTCTAAAATTAATATAGGCTCTGATAAAACCCCTATAAGTTAAGCTCTGGCAAAATAGTTTCTCTTAAGGGCCTTGTTAAGAAAAATAGAGTGTTCTGGCATATTTCAACATGGTTACTTTCCCTTCTACTGTGAGAAGCAGGTTTTTTTTCCTCTCTGAGTTTCACTGTGAGGACCTGGTAGAGCTTCAGAAGGTAAAGCTTACCAAGGTGTGGGACTCCACCCCTTCTGTGACCGGGTCACCCTGGAGTTTTTAACTCTCATACTTGTCCACACTGAGCCTCCACCAATTTGTCAATCACAGTTGAGCTTTTCCTATTCTGGTACCGGTTCCTGAGAAGGTGGCTTCTGCTTTGGCAAGTTGTGATTCTCTGCATTCGGCAGTCTGTCTCTCCAATTTGGGGGGCAGCCTTTGTCCTGTGACGTTCATGGATTTAAGAGGATCTGTTGAATTTCCAGCTTGTTCAGCTTTTTACTTGTCGTTAGGATGGGCTGATGACTCCCCAGCTCCTTACATGCTGGACTGGAAACTGGGCACATGGTTGCCCAGCCACAGACTACATCTCCCAGCTTCCCTTGCAGCTAGGCATGGCCAGTGGGGTGTAAGTAGAAACCTTGTGAGCCAGAGAGCCTTTCCTTCCCTTCCCCTCTCCTCCTTCCTATGGGTTGGAAGGCAGATACAATTCTGATGAATTGGCCTCCACCGTGCAAGGGAGGACATCACTCTATGGAATGGCAGAGCCACAAAGTGGAAGGGACCTGGGTCCGTGGGTGACCACATAGAGCAGAGCTGCTCTGCCAACCAGGACCACGCACCTTTGGATTGTTACAGCAGGGAAGTAAAGTTCTATCCTCTTGGACCCAGAGTATTTTGGGGTCTCTTTATCGAGGCAATTTAGCCTGTACCCTAACTAATCCAGACCCCAAACCCTTAGCGAGCCAGAGTTTCCTAGCCAGAGACAGCTGGCTGTGGTAGAAAGTACATGAGATACGGGCCGAAAACAGGCCTGCTCCAGGCTTGGATGCTGATTTACCGGGTAGCTCACCCTCTCTGGGCACTTCTCCATCCGAATCCACCTCAACTTGCCTCCAATGAGTTGAGGGGCATACAAGTGTGGCGATGAACCACGGATGGCCGGGCAGTTGGTAAGAGCAGATTTTAATGAGGGACATCCCGAGGATGAAGCTTACTGTGACTGTAACCTATGACAGCCCTCTGTGCCTCTGTCTGCAGATTTCAGGTGGCTAGACCTGGAGGCACTGTAGGAATGTGTCTTCCGGTGGCTCTTGGGTTTTAGTAACATAACGGTCAAGTTGACTTTTTTGAGGACAGCTTCCAGGTCTGTGAATCTTAACACACGTGTAGCGTCCTGTGCTTGCTGCCATGGTCAGGATACGGAACAGCTGGCCCTTCTCACTGGGCGGGGCACAGGTGAGGCTCACCTGGGTCATGCAGTCAGCAGCACAGCCGGGGGAGGCGGGCCTGGTGGGCTCAGGCTGAGCTGAGAGGAGCAAGTTGGGGGCAGCCCCCTCCTCAAGGCTCAGACCAGCCTCCTCAAGGCTCTTCCCTGCCCACTGGCCCCTGAAGAGTCCTAGGGGCCTTCTCAAAAAAGCCTGGCTCATCTGACAGGACCAGGGGTGAGGTGGCCCCCTGGAATGGCCACTGGCCTTGGTCTCTTTCCTTCCATTCCCAGAGGAACCATAGAGAAACTGGGTTGGGGCCTGTGTCACCCTGCTTAGGAGCCTGCAGTGGCTCCCTGATGCCTTCTGGCCCCATCCAAGGTGCTGAGTGTCTGAGGTCAGAGAGGAGGTCGGTCATTGTTTGTCCCCAGTCCCTGCTGCCCTGCCCCGGAGTGTCCGCTGCTCCCAGGCTCCCCCTGGGTACCCCTTGGTCCTCCTTCTCCCATGATCCCCTTCTGTGTCCCTGTAGCTTTGGCCCCAAGCTGCTGGTGCCGCCTTCCTCCCACGGACCTGCAGCTGCCTCTTCTTCCCTCCTCTCCATCCATGCTCCATGGGGCAGCTCAGAATCCTCCAGTGGCTCCTAATCGCCTGTGGAAGCAAGTCCTGGATCCTCATCTGCTATTGGGTTCCCCCACCCCCGACCTTGCCACTGTCCCCCCAGGCACCTGCCCTCACCCCTGCCATTCCCCTCTGTGGTGCATCTGCCCTCCTTGGCTGGGATGAACCCCTCTAGGCTGGACTCCTGAGTAACTATTTTACCTTGATTTAGCGCTGATTTCATGCATGTTGCGCTATTTGCCAACGTATCTTTCTCTCCTATGAGATGTTAAGGTAGGTGAGAACGGGCAGCTTGTCTTACTCTCTCCTGTGACCGCATGAAACCCAGTACCCACTGCATGCTTGTGAAAGAGGTGTTTCAGGTACTGTACTAAGGGGGGCCCTTTCTGGCCCCACTCTTTGCTCTTGCTGTTTCCTCACATTAGCATTTAATGTCCTTCTCTCCCCTCTCTGTCCATCGAAATCCTGCCTCTCTTCTAGAGTTAGTTCAAGGGCAGCCTCTACCTGGAAGCCTGCAGTGATCACCCCCTCCTTATGTTTCCCCAGCCTGTGTGGCCTGGAGGTTGGGCACAGTGTGCCTGCATCAGGCACATGGGTGACAGGAAGGGGGCAGTGCTGGAAGGGGAAAAGACTCCAGGAGCCCAGGGAGGGGATTCTGGGCCGGGTTGTGCATGAATGTAGGCAACTCTGCACTGAGGGCAGGGGAAGCAGCAGCAGGTATGGGCTGATCCAGCAGCCCCAGGGTTTGAACATGAACTCTGGCAGCAGGAACGCAAGGGAATCTGTGAGGAACGAAAGGAAAGGATGTCTGTCAGGCTCTGTCATGGGAGGCTCTGGGGTTAGGTCCAGTCCCACAAGGAGTCTGCGTCTCCAGGGTTCTGAAGATGTGATGCTGGTCAGGCTGACGTGGAGGCTGGTCTGATGGAGGTCGGGGTGACCCAGGTGCCCACAGGTTGGGCCAGTGGCCTCAGCAGGAGATGAGGAGGGGGTTGGCGAGTGCAGGAGCCGTGGAGGCTGGTGCCGAGGGCTCTCTCCGCAAGAGCTCACAGCCAGCCAAAGCCGTGTGCAGGGCGTCCAGGATGGCTGAGGGTCCAGATCTCCCCTCTGGAAGGGAGGAGTAGACAGGGAGGGCACGTCAGTTTGCTCACCATGGCCCACAGAGCCACTTTTCTTTCTGGGGCCCTCCCCAGCCCTCTCTTGTCTCACTCCCACTGAGGACCCCAGAGAAGCCGGCTCCTAGCACCTAATTTCTGACCTCCCTCTCGATTCCAGGGGCCATTCCAGGTGCTAGACATACCCAAGCCTTGCCCAGCAATGCCCTGTGAGGCTAGCGAGCAAAGGCTTATGATCAGTTGGTCATCCCATTAGCGTGAGGCCCTTTGAGGAGAGAGCTTGGCCTGGCTCGTCTTGATTTCACGAGACACAATCTGGCCCTGATGTAATCCTACTGCCCCTGAACTTTATCTAAAAATGGCGACCATGTAGCTCAGTGCTTAAAGGAGAGACCTAAGGCTTTGGGTGCAGCTGGCACTTGGCCTCTCTGTGCTTCAGTCTCTCCATCTGTGGAATGGGCACAATAACAGAACCTTCTTCAGTGGGCTGCTGTCATGACGCAGGGGGTTAAAACCATGTGAGGTGCCTCTCCAGAGCCTGGCACATAGTCAGCCTGCCGACTGAACTGAGAGCAGGGAACCCTGCCCAGTTCCCTTGGGGGTTTTGGCCCTGCTGGCTTCTGCTGGGCTCTTCTTCCCAGGACTTCTGTTCCCCTGCTCTTGTCAAATAGCATTTTGAACTGTTCCTGACTACGTACTTTCAGGGCGGTAATGACAGTGGCATTTTGCAGACAAGACACTCAGGACAGACAGTGCTGAGTCAGGCCACCGTCAGATGCTGTCCAGGCTCTGAAAGATAGGAGAGATCTCCTACCATGTGTGGGGTCCTTGCAAGCATCCAGCGTGTTCAGCAAAATCTTCCCCAGGGCTCTTTTCGATATGTTCTGAAAAAGAAATAGAGACAGGGCTGGACTGCACTGTGGCTGCTGTGTCCTCGTTCAGCGGCTCGGACTTGGTGGCCCCTACGGGCTTCTGCATGGCTCCCTAGGGCACAGAGAGTCACTACCCCCTTCCCTTCCTGGCCCCCTGGCCCTAGGCTGGCAACACTGCTTGCTGGGCTTCTCAGAGACTTTTGGTGGGTGGATTGAGTGCTTTGCGGGACCCATTCCATCAAAGATCACATATTTGTGGATTACCACTCATGTGCCCAAGGAGAAGTGGGCACTTGGGAAATAAACATGAATAAGAGCATTTCTATGCATGGTCTCATGTAACCTTTGGAACAGCTTATATCATTAGGCTCCTTTTAATGGGTGAAAAAAGCAGTGCCGAGAAAGAATGAGACATTCGGCCATAGCCACCCAGCAAGGAGGCAGAAGAACCAGCATTTACCCACAGGCTGCATGGCCAGAAGTTGCCTGCTGCTGCTGGCTGCCCCTCAGCTCTTCTCCCAGGCTGTGCTAATCTGGCCTGGGCCTTGCTGGTTCAGTATCCTAGGCAGTCTGGTGCACAGGTAAGAGCCTGCTTAAAACTCAGGCAAGCCGGGTTCAGATCCCACTTTCACCTTACAGCGGCTGTAATCCTAAGTTAATTGTCTCTCAAGAAAAAAAGTTTTAAATGTTTATTTATTTTTGAGAGAGAGAGAGAGAGAGAGAGAGAGAACATGAGTCGGGGGAGAGGCAGAGAGAAGTGGGGACAGAGACTCTGAAGCAGGCTCTGTGCTGACAGCAGAGAGCCTGATGCGGGGCTCGAACCCATAAACCGTGAGATTGTGACCTGAGCCAAAGTTGGATTGCTTAACTGATGGAGCCACCCAGGCACCCCTCAAAAAAATTTTTTTTTTCTAAATAGTTTGCTGATGCTATTTAGGAACACGATTGATTTCTGTACTCTGATATTTTATCATTCACCTTGCCAAGAAATTACAATAATTTGCTTATGGATTCTCTTGGGTATTTCTGTGTAGATGAATATGATATATAATTACTGATAGCTTAATGTCTTCTTGTCTAATCCTTACACCTTTTCCTTTTTTTTCTTGTCTTATCCCATTGGCTGGAACATCTAGCTGGAATACAGACAGTGAGGACAGTCATGCTGGTCTTGATTCTGACTTTAGAAGGATTCCTTCTAACATTTCACCAATATCTGTGAGGTTTGTGAGACGTAGTTGGCTGAGACTCCTTATCTGGTAAAGGAGGGTCCTTACTGTTCTTCTTTCTTTTTTTTTTTAATGTTTATTTATTTTTGAAGAAGAGAGAGACAAAGTGTGAATGGGGAAGGGGCAGAAAGAGAAGAAGACACGGAATCCGAAGCAGGCTCCAAGCTCTGAGCTGTCAGCATGGAGCCCGACGCGGGGCCCGAACCCACAAACTGAAATCATGACCTGAGCCAAAGTCGGATGCTTAACCAACTAAGCTACCCAGGCTCCCCTATGATTTTCCTTTCTTATATTCATCCTTCTGTGGTTTTGAAATCAAAGTTAGGTTAGCTTTATAGAACAAATTAGAGAGCCTCCTCTTGTTTTTAATTACCTTCCCTGAGCCTCCTTTTCTGCATTGGAAAGTGGAGATAAGACCTGCCTAATGTGAGGAAAGCTCAGAGCCAGGCGCCCGACATAGGCCGGTGCCCCCTCCTGAGAGCCCCTCTCGTTGCCCTGGGTGGGCCACCTCCTGTGAGCCTACCAGGTCCCGGAGCCTTTGCAGGAGCTGCACCACGTCTACCAGCTTCTCCTCCAGCAGGGACAGCCGCACCCTCTCTGTCTCCACCATCTGCAGCTCCAGCCTCAGCTGCTCGTTCTCTTCCACCTTCCGCTGCAGCTCTGCCTGCGGGGACCAACAGGGACTCAGCGCCCACACTCACCGTGCTGTCTCCGGGCAGGACCCACAGCTTGCCTTGACCCTTTCTCAGAGGTCATCTGGCCCCCTCTGCCCCCCCACCCCCACAGCCCAGAGAGGCTGCATGTCTGGCCTAAGGTCGCGCAGTGTGTTGGGTTAATATAAGAATATGCATATTTTGGTTTCTATTGGAGAACCTCATTTTCCCTTCTCTATCCATATGCTTTCTTTTCATATATATATATATATATATATTTTTTTTTTTTTTTTTTTTTTTTTAATTTAAATGAAAAAAAAATTTTTTTTGGTTGCAAGCAACAGAAACTTTTCTGGCTAGCTTAAACAGAAAAAAAATTCGCTAGTGAGCTATGGGTCATTCCCAGAACAGACCGGTGGCTGGAGAAGCTCAGGGATGGGGCAGCAGTGGGGTCTGAGACAGTAGGACGGTCTCAGGCCTCTTGTCCAGGGGCCAGAGCTGAGAAGAACACTTTCCAGCAACTCTCCCATCTCTCTCAAGATGGAAGGCCTCAGGAGAGGGGCCTGATTGGGCCAGTGTGAGTCACTGGCCCACCCTTGGCCAGGGGAGCACTGAGACCGTGGGTATCCACTGGGATACCCACTAGGGGGCAGATGCCAGGCAGTCATAAAGTGTCACACGGCTATCTGCCTTCTAAAGCAGGGATGCCAGGAGTAAGGTGGTCCCTGTTCTTAGCACTGATGGAGGGAAAGAGAAGCAGCCGAAGACGTGGTGCCCTTGGACACTCTGAGTCCTCTTTGGGCTTTGGGCAGGACAGAGAAGGCATGGTGCCTATGCCTCCTGCAGACGGGCCTGGAAGATGGGCTTGGGGACACAGCTCGTGTGCCTCAGTAACTCTCCTGATCCCCACTTCCTGGAAATTTACTTAGAAAAGGGGCGGTGGCTATGCCTTGTGGAACTGCATCAGAGCAACGTCAAAGACAGCATGGGTTTAGAATTTCAGGTATATAAATATAAAACGATCTTCTATCAAAACGACAGTTTGCAAAAGCGTAATGTGCTGGGGCTTAATGAAATGGCGACTCTCAGTAGCACTCCACACTTGAATACTGTGGGATGGAGAAGTTGCTCGGAGTGGAGAGATGAGAAAAAATGCCAAGCGGTCTCATTGAAACGGAGACACCTCGCCACTGGCTGTTGGTGTATATCCCTCCCTTACCCTCCATAACTCTCCTGGGGGACAGTGTCCCTCCTCCCCCTCATCTGACTTTGATGGAGCTGCTAATCACTGAATCTTACCCGGCTACCACAGGGACTGGCCCAGGGACACTCACATGACCGAGGCTGGGCCGGTTGGCGTTCTTCCCTGAGGTTTAGTATATTGGGCTCTTATCCCCCTGGGCTTTCTTAGGTGGGCCAGTGGGAGGCTGGAGCTGTTTCTGGTCCCTTTCCCCACCATACGGAGGAAGCCTTTCTGAAGTAGGGTGAATGAGGCCAGCGCCAAGAGAAACACAGAGCAGATAGGTGGCAACAATCTAGTCTGAGTCGCTGGATCCAGCTGTTTCTGACGCTCATCTCCTCGGCTGTTCTTGCCAGCTCCGTATTCTAATAAATACCTATTCTGCACGCAAGCTGTTCTGAGATGGTTCCTTTAACTTGCAACCAAAATATTCTTCGTTAAATCTACGACAAAGGAAGGCACATCTCTTTGAGTCTTGGTTTACCCATCTGTGAACAGGGCACAGGACTTGGCTTACATCCCTCAGGGTTCTTCCAGCTATGAGAGATTTTAGCATTGGTCCAGACCTCGACCTCTGGGGCTCAGCTGACCTCCTCCCCAGGTGTCCCCAGGGTCTTCTCACTGCAGCCCTGGGTCCCCAGCTGCTCCACCAGCACGGCGATGCGAGCCTCCAGCTCCCCCAGGGTACAGGCATGGTCAGCACTGCCAAAGTGGCCGAAGTAAGTCACAAGCTTCTTGGCTGTCTGTTCATCACACCTGCAGCAAAGGAGAGCACCAGCACTGTGGGGCTGCTTTCCAGAGTCTGCTCCAGCCTCAGAAAGTGGGTGTTGCCACCGAGTCTAAAAGCCAGGCCATGGCACCCCCTGGTCAGTACCCCTCCCATGGCTCCCCATCTGACTGAGAGGACAAGCCAAAGGCCTCACCCAATGTGCCCCTCTGATCTCCCTGGCCTCCCTCTCATCCATCTTCACTCACTGTGCTCTAGCCACAGAAGCCTCCTCACCGCCCCTCCAACATGCCTCAGGGCCTTTGCACTTCTTGCTGTTCCCTCTTCCTGGAATGCTCTTCCCTCATTTCCTTCAGGTCTTTGCTCCAATAGCACCTTCTTAGAGTGGCCTTCCTGGCATCTCCTCGCCCCTCCCTCTTCTGCTGCTTCACCTTATTTTCCTCCTACTTGTCACCACTCACTAGAATAGGGGCTCCAGGAGAGGAGGGCTGCTGTCTTGTTTATTGCCGTTCTCTCAGAGCCTCCAGATTTGTCGGGCACGAAGTAGGTGCTTAATAAATGCTTGTTGTTGACTTAAGGGTCGGTGGTGACAATAGTCCTGGAAAGCTGACAGCACCATACAATATAATAATAAACACCAGCGCTGCCCCTTGGTGGCGTACCTACTGCGGTCAGGCACCTGTTAGGCATTTTATAGCCTTGACAACAAATCTTCACAAACCTCTTGCCTGCCTTAGAGACGAGGAAGCTGAGGCTCAGAGGAGTCAGGAGACTTGTCTGAGGTGCCCCAGGCATCTGGGTCTTTCTCCCCTCTAGGGTGGTCGTGAGGATTACATAAGTTGGGGAGTCGGAAGGCCCCTGACCTGGGCCAGGCTGGAGGAGGGCACCGTAAACGCTGTTTCTCGCAGGAGCGACTGGGTAAGGAAGGGTCTGGTATGTCCTGGAATTACATGGAGCTGTGGGCATGTCCTGGGATAGCGGCCAGGGGACTGAGAAGACACCAACGGTCATTAAAGCCCCCCACAAAGTGTGCCTTTGCCAGTCCCCTCATTTCATCCCCGCACATGCCTGGGGTGGGGGGCGGGGCATCTGATCACTTCCCTCCTATGGACTAGGGGACAGAATCAGGCCTGTCAGCCTCCCAAGCTCAAGCTCTGTCACTGTGTGAAGGGGCTCTGGGCCTCTCGCGCC